CATGTGGCTCAAGTCTTTCTCTGCCTTGTTCATGACGTGTATTTACTTCAACCATGTCTACCGTTTACTAAACACCCTCCTTTCTCCCGTGGCTCTTCTATCCCCTATCCTGAAGGTGTCCACTGGGGGAATGCAAAAAAGGAGCTGAATAGCTTCACCACTATCATGTCTACTCACCAGGATGACCTTGACTTTCATGCAAGCTTGAAGAACATGCTCTCCACTCCCGACTGGAAGACGGCCTACCCGAATATCATCAGCATTTGGATAGCAGTGGCGGTGCTGCCGTTGAGCACAGTCGAGTGCGAGCGCGGCTTCAGCCTCCAGAACGTCATTAAGAGTTGGTTGCGCGGCAACCTATGTGACGCGAAGCTCAGCGATCTGATGACCATATCGCTCCTCACCTACGACATGGAGTGGGATGGCATGGTGGCAAAGTGGCGTGGGGTCAAGAAGAGGCTGCCCGGGAGGGAGGTGGTGATGGGGCAGGGTTCACGTTCAGCGAAGAGGCAGAAGCGGTCAGCAGCATTCAAGGTAGCAAGAACAGCAGCAAAGGTAGCAGCAGCAGCAGCACGACAGGCAGAGGCACTTGCAGCAGCAGAGGCGGCGCGGATGTTTGATGAGGATGGTGCAGCAGGCACTGTATGGAAGAGAGGAAGGGCAAGGGCAGAGCGATTTTGCTACAGTCTGACAGTGAGGAGGATGAGCAAGGATGCAGCAGTGGCAGTGAGTCTGAGTAGGGTAGGGTTAATGCTAGTTGGTTCTGCAGTGGTATTGGTTGGATTGGAAGCTCTAGTGAGCTTGTAGGATGTTAGCAACAAGCCAAACTCATTGGTAGAGTTAGGAGGAGGAGTAGCTGCTGTAGGATGTTTGTTGGCTACAACTGTGGCTCGTAGGATCTTACTAGTGCCCGTAGCTGCTGCTGTCCTAGGAGTCTTATTACGAGTAGTGCTGTCTGGAACACATCTAATGTTTCATGTGCATAAGTCAAAGCCTAGAGGATGAGCTGCTTGATTTTCAGGAGGCAAATTTCATCTGCAAACACAGATAAGGCTGTATACTTCGTCTGAAATTTTAGACCAAGCCAAACACCTCATATGATGGTCAGACAAAACTTCCGTACCCCGTCTGTTTCTCAGACTGCCCTAAAAGTTAGCAGGTACCCTGGTTACACCCCCTCCCCCCACTCACTCCCCTCCACTTCCACGCAAAGAGTACAGTGTCAATCCTAACTTGTTGTTGAGTAGGCAGACGAGCAGGAAGAGTATGTCAACTTATACATATGCTGTATGTAGAAGTTATAGGCTAGCCTAGGTGTGTGTTTCTAGTGAGTACAACCCCAACAGGTACATGTTCTAGGTTTCTCACACTAGTCCATTCATCCTCTCTTTCTAACATGGTATCATGAGTAGGTTCGGTTCCTCTCGCCCGCCCACGCTTCCGCCCTAGGCCCTAGCCGTCCCGTCCGATCCTAGCCGGCCCCTTGGCCGTCGCACCCGCCACTAGCTGGCCCCCTATCCGTCGCGTCCGCCCCTAGCCGGCCCCCTGGCCGTCGCATCCGCCCCTAGCTGGCCCCCTGGCCGTCGCGTCCGCCCCTAGCCGGCCCCCTGGCCATCACGTCCGCCCATAGCCGGCCCCCTGGCCATCGCGCCCGCCCTTAGCTGGCCCCCTGGCCGTCGCGTCCGCCCCTAGCCGGCCCCCTGGCCGTTGCGTCCGCCCCTAGCCGGCCCCCTAGCCGTTGCGCGCGCCCCTAGCCGGCCCCCTGGCCGTCGCGCCCGCCCCTAGCCGGCCCCCTGGCCATCGCGCCCGCCCCTAGCCGGCCCCCTGGCCGTCGCGCCCGCCCCTAGCCAGCCCCCTGGCCGTCGCGCCCGCCCCTAGCTGGCCCCCAGGCCGTTGCGGCCGCCCCTAGCCGGCCCTCTGGCCGTTCGCGCCCGCTCCTAGTCGGCCCCCTGGCCGTCGCGCCCGCTCCTAGCCGGCCCCCTGGCCGTTCGCGCCCGCTCCTAGCCGGCCCCTCCTAGCGCCCGCCCGGGCCCCTCTACCGCCCGCCCGGCTCCTCCACAGCGCCCGCCCGGCCCCTGCTAGCGCCCGGCCGGCCCCTGCTAGCGCCCGCCCGGCCTGTTGCGCCCGCCCGGCCCCACCCAGCGCCTGCCCGGCCCCGATACGCCTGCCCGGCTCCTGCGGCCCGCAGCTCCCAGTGCCTGCCCGGCTCCTGCGGTTCCGTGTCTTTTGCTTGGCACAGTTCCTCGGGTCTCGTGTCTCCAGCCTCGTGTCTTCTGCTTGCCAGCGCAGGAGCGTCCTGCAGACGTCCCCCTGGAGCTGTGCTGCTGTGTCCCTGTGCCGCTGTGTCGTGTGGAGCTGTGCCGCTGTGTCCCTGTATCGCTGACCCTGCACGATGGCTGACTTCGTACTCCGCCTGGACGCTGAGGGCCATGCGTTGACTTCGCCGCCTGGCTGTCCGATCTCCGGTGTCAACTCACAAGTCAGCGCCAGGATGGGCACTCCTTGGTTCTCCATACTGATGGCTTGCTCCCCCGCCCCCTTGCGCCTGCTCCCCTCCCTGCTGACCCCACCTCTGCTGAGCGTGGGACTATCTCTGCTGCTACACTTGCCTGTGCCGTCTGGGACTCTCGCGATGTAGTTGCTCAGGTCGCTATCAGTCACGCCCTCCCTGTGTCTGAGCGTTTGCGTTTTGCTACGGTTGATACAGCCAAGGCTTACCTAGAAGTTGTTGTTGCTCGCTATTCCACGCCTGCATCCGCTACTGCAGGCCGCCTGCTCTTCCCTATGCTTTTCCCAGAATTTGATTCCTTCCCTACTGCTGCTGACCTTGCCACTCACCTGCGCGCCCTAGAGCCTCGCTACCGCACTGCTAGCACTGCTGCCCAGCTCACTGCGCTCCCTCCCCCCTTTTGCATGACCCTCTACTTTATCGCCATGCACCTGCCTGACCGCCTTGCTAGTGCACGCGACCACATCCTTAGCCAGCACCCGGGTGATCTCACCTTGCCAGCCTTTGTCACCACCCTGACCGAGATCGAGACTCGCCAGCGCCCTATCGCTCAGTCGAGCGGTGCGCCGGCAGTCTCTATCTTTCACGGCTGTGCCTCTCCCAGTGCACGTTTACTGACGTTTCGGCTGCGGTCGCCACTGCGACCCCTCTGACCGAGACTGCAGCTGCGGTACACCCGCAGCAGCGCTCGCGCCGCGCCGGTCGTGGCCGCCATGGAGGGCGTGGTGGTGGAGCTGGTTGTAGTAGTGGTGGTACCGGGGACAGTGGTTCTACTGAGGGGACTGCCGTCGCCGCAGCAGCAGGAGTAGCCGCCGCAGCCGTCGCAGCAGTCGCAGTCGTCGCAGCAGCTGTCCCAGCCCCAGCCGTGGGCTCGCCTCCCCCCGGGTTGGCCCGGCACCTCCGTAGGTGGTGGCCGTGGTAGCGGCCCGCGCAGCTTGGCGTCTACCGGCAGCTCCGTTGGTGTGACCTGCCAGTACCAGCTTCAGACCGGGCCTCTCCGCAGCACTCTGTGCCGCCGCCCGCACCCGTCCGCCCGCTGTTTCCGCCGCCTCGACGATCTCTTTCGTCATCGCTTTGGCCTGGCCCCGGACCTCCCCGACTGGCACAGCCTGCTTTGCCAGGGCGTGCCGATCTTTGATTTAGATATGGATCAGATAGGTGCTGCTTTGCATGCCTCGTATGCTGACGCTTCTAGTGTTGCTGGATCTTATTACCCTGTGTACTCTAGTTTCGGCGTAGCACCCTTGTGTAGTTTAGCCTCCCCTGCTGCGTCAGACGTAGGACTGCGTAGTTTGCCTAGCCTAGTTTCTGCACCTGCTCCGTTCCCGGCCTCCGCTACTGCCTCGCTGTCCTTCACTCTCGACTCCGGTGCTTCTGCCTGTTTCTTCCGCGATCGCTCCACGCTCACGCCACTTGCTGCGCCTACTGTTGTCGCTCTCCCTAACCCCTCCGCGGGTCCTGTCGTCGCTCGCAGCTCCACTTCCCTTCCCTGTCCAGCCGTTCCCTCTGGCTCTCTTACAGGCCTCCACGTTCCCTCGTTCTCCAGGAACCTGGTTGGTGTCGGCCGTCTTCAGGACCTCGGCGTCACCACTAGGCCTCCCCGAGTCGCTCCCCGCACTTCCCCCCTCGAATGCGCCACCGTGCACGCCTTGCGTCGAGGGCCGGCTCCGCCGTGCCCCTCACTCCTCCTCACTTCGCCCTACTACTGCTCCCCTTCAGACCCTGCACCTTGACGTTTGGGGCCCAGCCCCCGTCCCTGGACCGCGCGGTGAGCGCTACTTCCTTGTGCTCGTCGACGACTACACGCGCTACACCACGGTGTTTCCCCTGGAGCGGAAGGCCGACGTGCCCGACGTTCTTCTCCCGTGGGTTGTGGCTGCGCGTCTTCACCGCGGTCTCCTAGTGTTGTGTCTCCACTCTGACCATGGCGGCGAGTTTGCCTCTGGTCGGCTTGGACAGTTCTGTCGTGCGGAGGGCATCACCCAGTCGTACACCTTGCCGGACTCGCCAGAGCAGAATGGGGTTGCTGAGCGCCGCATCGGCTTGGTCATGGAGGTTGCTCGTACCTCCATGATTCATGCCGATGCCCCCCATTTTTTGTGGCCGTTCGCTTTCCGCTACGCTGCTCACTAGCTTAACCTGTGGCCACGCTCCTAGCGGCCGCGGGTTTCGCCGACCCTCCTTTGGACCGGGTCCCCCGGTGACGCGTCTGTGTTCCACGTCTGGGGTTGCCTTGCTCACGTTCGTGCCTCTGGCACGGACAAGCTCATTGCCCGCACTGTCCCCTGTGTCTTCCTCGGTTTCCCCCTATACTCGTCTGACTGGCTCTTCTACCACCCGCAGTCTCACCGGTTCCTTCACTCTCGTTACGTCACCTTTGACGAGTCTGTCTCCTTCTACCGTCGCTTCCCTCACCGAGGTCTCCCGGTTCCCCCCCCCTTGTTCCTGGCTCCCTCTCTCCCGGTAGCCCCTGCTCCCCTCCCGCCTTGTCCTGCCCCGTCTGGTGTTTCCCATGTTACTTTCTTCCCGTCAATTGTCCCTGTTGAGGAGTCTGCTGACTCTGGTTTTCCCCCCAGCCCGTCCTTGCCGCGTCCCCCTTCCCCGGTGTCTTCGCCTCCGCTGTCGCAGCCGCCGCCGCCGCCGCCGCCGCCGCCGCCGCCGCCGCCGCCGCCGCCGCTGCCGCCGTCGCTGCCGCCGCTGCCGCTCTTGGCCCCTTGGGGTGCTGGCGTTGAGGAGGGTGTTCGTCCTGCGGCCCCTGGCGTGGTTTGTCCTGGCGGGCCTGCGGGTGCCGCCGGTGCTAGAGGGGGTTCTCTCTCTGGGGGTGTTGGTTCTGGGGGTGCTGCTGTTGAGTGTTCTCCCAGCGGCCATCGTGCCCCTGCCGGTCCGCGGGTCGAGCACCAGCCGCCGCAGCCATCGCCGCCGGTCTCCGCTCTTCGCCTGCTCGGCCTTCCCTCCCCCGACCGCTCGCCGATGTCTCCCCCACCACCTTCTCACCTTCCTGTCTCCGGCCCTATGTTCCCACCGCCGGACTCGTCTCCGGCCCGTCTTCCTCCTCGTTCCCCTTTTGTGTCCCCTCCACTGTCTCCTGACCCTACACCTCCGTCCCACATTTGGTCTCGCCGTCCCTCCCGTGCTCGTCCCGTCTCTCCTGTCCTGCGCTCCCACCCTATGTTGCTCCGTTCCCACTCCTCTCGTCCTCCCCTCCTCCCGTCGCCTCCTCCCTCGTTGCTTGTTGTTGCACCTCCCCTTCTGTCTGACTACCTCCGTGCCGCTCATCCCCTTGTCCCTCGGGTTCTTGCCTCTCTTGTTACAGACCCGTCTGTTCCTGTCTCGCTCCTTGACGCGCTTGTCGCGGCTGTCGCTGACTTCGCCTCTACCCGCCGCCTTGACTACGCTACCGCTCTGGTCTCTGACCCTGCCCATCCTCCGTCCGTCGGGGTTGCACCTACCCTTGGCAGTGACGTTCTAGAGGACTAGCAGTACGAGCTTGCTTTCCTTTCCGAGGCCGCTCCCCATCTCTGCTCCATGCTCCTAGTCCCACAGGGTGACCCAGACGCCTTCGACATCCTGACCCCTCGCACCTACGCTGAGGCCACCTCGAGACCTTGGGCCTCTCAGTGGATAGCTGCCATGGAGCAGGAGATGGCATCTTGGAGGTCCACCGGCACCTACGTCGACGCAGTTCCCCCGCCTGGGGTGAACGTAGTCGATGGTCGGTGGCTCTTCAAGGTGAAGCGCCCCCCTGGAGAGCCGACTGTCTTCAAGGCACGCTACGTGGCCAGAGGTTTCAGTCAGCGAGAGGGGGTTGAGTTCTTCTAGACCTTCGCCCCGACCCCGAAGATGACCACTCCTCGGGCGCTGCTACACGTAGCAGCACAGCGTGACTACGAGCTTCACTCCCTCGACTTCTCTACTGCGTTTCTTCAGGGCAGCCTACACGAGCAGGTCTACCTGCGCCGACCACAGGGCTTCACTGGTACCTTCCCCCCTGGGACCCAGTGGCTTCTCAGGCGCCCGCTCTACGGCCTGCGCCAGGCTCCTCGCGAGTGGCACGACACGCTGCGTGCCACGCTAGCAGACCTGCAGTTCTTTCCGTCCTCTGCTGACCCCTCGCTGTTTGTGCGTTCCGGCCAGATTCCGTTCTACATCCTTGTCTACGTAGACGATCTGGTCTTTGCTACTGCTGACAGGGACGCACTGGCCTCTGTGAAGGCCGAGCTGCTGAAGAGACACACCTGCACTGACCTTGGAGAGTTGCGTCCCTATCTTGGCCTGCAAATCTCCAGGGACAGAGAAGCACGCACCATCACTCTGACACAGTCACACTTGGTGCGTCAGGTCCTTCAAAGGTTCGGTCTTCAGTTCTCCTCCGCATAGCCCACACCTCTACCTGTAGACCATGGGCTCTCCGCTCCCGTTCCTGAGGAGCCAGTAGAGCACAGCGGCCCCTACGAAGAGCTGGTGGGTTGCCTCATGTACCTGATGACTTGCACTCGCCTAGATCTCGCATACCCTCTCAGCATCCTGGCTCGCTTTGTGGCCACTGGCAGACACCGACCACAGCACTGGTCGACCGCTAAGAGGGTTTTGCGATATCTAGCAAGTACATCAGGCATGGGGTTAGTGCTAGGAGGACGCAGGCCAATGGTCCTCACTGGGCACACAGACGCTTCTTGGGCAGACGACTCTGAGACACTCAGGTCGTCGCAGGGCTACTGTTTTAGCCTTGGTTCGGGTGCTATCTCTTGGAGATCCACTCGCTCGTCGTCTGTTGCTCAGTCCAGCTGTGAGGCTGAGATCTACGCCGGTGCCATAGCGGCACAGGAGCTCCGCTTGCTGACCTTCTTGCTCACAGACTTAGGTGAGCTGCCTAGCTCTGCCCCTGTCTCGTACGCTGATAACAGGGCCATGATTCTCGTGTGTCAGGAGCCTCGACTTGAGGGCAGAGCGAAGCATATCCAACTGCGGTACTTCCTCCTGCGCGAGCAACAGCAGCGTCGCCATGCCCGCGTAGTTCACTTAGCCTCAGGTGCCAACACAGCTGATGTCTTTACTAAGGCGCTTGCGCCTAAAGATCATCAGCGGCACTGTGTACAGCTTGGTCTTGTTCCTGTAGTTACTCACCTGTTAGGACCCTGATTGTGTACTCTATTATATATTCCTGTTTGACTGGCCTTGTGGCCTTACCTCCTGTGGCTGGACTAGTAGTGCCGCCCTGGCTTGCTTTAGTCTTGCTTGTACTCTTGCTGACTGGTCTCAGGACCCCTACCTCAGTGGTTGTACTAGTAGTGCCACCCTGAGATGTGTGCTTCTTGCTGAGCACCACCCCTTCTCTAGCCTAGGGGGTGTGTCAACTTATACATATGCTGTATGTAGAAGTTATAGGCTAGCCTATGTGTGTGTTTCTAGTGAGTACAACCTCAACAGGTATATGTTCTAGGTTTCTCACACTAGTCCATTCATTCTCTCTTTCTAACAGAGTACACTCCCGACCTGACTCCTGGCATAGCAGGAGCGAGAAACACCTCACACCCTGAGTGTTTTCCCTCAGCACTCCCTAAGCACTGGCAAAGGCTCATAGTCTCTGAGGATGGTAGAAAAGCGCGAAGGTTAGTGCGTCGACGAATCAGTATGCTAACGGGTAGTTTCCCGTAAATTCCGTCTTTGAACGGGTAATTCTGAGCCGATTCCTTTCACTAACGGAATCCCCTAGGCCTTAGCAAGAGGCCTGCACACGACCTCCCTTGCTGGAGCCAACCTGTGGTTGCCTGTCCGGAAATGTTGCCCTCCCCGTTATAGTGAGCACCTCCAACGCCCATAGCGTCATGGTTCTTGCATTGAAGATGGGGTAAAAATGCAATGAAGGGTAAATCAATTTGTAGAATGCTTGTACATGCTTGCAATGTGCATGCAGAGTGCAATATCTCGACCATCCCCCCAGCCACCCTCTCCACTGACAACCGGCCACGTGTACACAGGTAAAATTACGATGGGCGCTTCTTTATGGATTGAATCCCTCTCGTCTTGCGCTGTTAGTCGAAATACTTCAGCGGATCCCACTTCCCCACGAGAAGCTTGGGATCCTCCATTCCCACTCCAATTCCCATTCCCATTCCCCTCCCCATTCCCATTCCCATTCCCATTCCCATTCCCCTCCCCATTCCCATTCCCATTCCCATTCCCATTCCCATTCCCCTCCCCATTCCCATTCCCATTCCCATTCCCATTCCCATTCCCCTCCCCATTCCCATTCCCATTCCCATTCCCATCCCCATGCAATCCATACTCTCCAAAGTGCCATGCGCTGGTGCGGTGCCATCGTAGCATGCGAGCAGACGGCATGTGGTGGGAGATAAGCCCCCACATGGACCTGTCCCAGTTGTACTCATCCAAGTAACAAAACTCCTAAAAACAACGAAGAAAAAGGAGAAAGGGAAAAGGGGGGGAGTGATCATGGTATGTTCATTGTTGTTGTGCACATGCACTAATAAAAAACTCCTGCGAACTGCAAAAGAACAATGCAGCAAACGAGAGGTGGGTGGGGGAAGCATAGGAGAGAAGGAGGTTGGATGCAAGAGGGATGAACGAGGGCAAGGGATGCCACAGATGCACAATGGCGCAGTGCAGATGGGGCAAAAGTCCAACCTTAACCCATCTGCGTAGGACACATGCATACCTCTACTAGTCCGTGCATCATCTCCCACACACTCCTGTTGAAGCTATACCCCGCATTGCCCATCCCATACCCTAGGACGTACCCCACCTATGGACCAACAGGCCCCACAGCCCCACATGCAAGCATACCTCTGCTAGTCCACGCATCATCTCCCACACACTCCTGTTGAAGCTGTACCCCACATTGCCCAGCCTCTCTGCAGTGAAGTGCCGTTTCCGCCTTGAAACTCCCCCCTTCTCTACCGCACTCCCCTCTTGTGCTCGCACTGCAGGCTTCACCCCCCTGTCCTCCATCTCACCCCCCTCCTCATCCTCCACCTCCCCCGCTGTGTCCACTGAGGCTGTCATCATCTCCCTCCACTCCCCCCCACCCCCCTCCTTGTCCTCCACCACTCCGACGTCCGCTGGCGCCAGGCTTGCAGCGATGCATTGGTCGCAGCGGCCGCGGCTCTTGGCGCTTAGCAAAGCGCGGAGGTGGCTAAGCGCGTTGGGGAAGAGCCAGTGGTCCTCCTCTATGAACAGCATGTGGCCGTTGAATGACTTGGTCTCTGGGAGGCCGTCCCACACCGTATTCTGCAGCCACCACCAGTGGTGCTGAGAGGAGGTGAGGGAAGAGAAGGGGGGGAGGAATGGCAAGCGCATTGGACAACGCAGGGGGAGAGAGGAAAGGGGTGCGTTGGGGGAGGTTCAAGGAGGGGGCGAGAAGGAATGGAAGTGCTTTGGTAAAGGGCCAGTGGTCCTCCTCTATGAACAGCATGTGGCAGATGAATGACTTGGGTGGGGTGGCATGCGTCCAGATACACTGCGTGCAGTGGGAAGTCTATTTTTGAGGCGCCTCAAAAATAGACTCCTCAGGCATGTGTCCAGAAACACTGCATGCAGTGGGAGAGCGATCACTGCACGACACGCCAGACACTGAACCCTAAATATATGTCCTGGCGGATGCTGAACTAGAGACATACACCCTGGCGCCTGACCCGGGAGATGCTGTGGTGAGGGGTTACTGGGTGTGGTGAGGGGTTACTGGGAGTGGTGTAAGAAGCACGCAATGGACGGGAACAAGGGAGGAGGGGCAGCGAAGGATGGGAACAGGGAAGGGGAGCAGGCAGAGGGGTGGGGGGTGGGGGGTGGGGGGGGGGGGGATTGGGGGCTCGGGGGGAGGAAGGCAGAGAGGAGGGTGGGCAGGACTGATTAAGGAAGAAATAGTGCACCTTGAGCGAGACGATTCTCGGATCGCGGTACGACCCGAACTCGTCTGCCTGGCCCCAGCAACGCACGCCATCTCCCACCATGCCGTCGCCGTCGCCGTCACGCATACCATCGCTCACAGTCTCCCTTGGCCCCTCATGAATCCCCCGTGCTGGCCACTGGCAGCCTGCTCTGGTCTCCCAGGGGCGCCTTGACTTGCCGCGGCAGTCATCCGGGGCAGCTGCTGGGAAGGTTCCGTTGAAGAGGTGCGGAGAGAAGGGGGAGTGGAGCTGCTTGACCCGGCAGAAGGAGACTGACTGGACTAGCTGGTGCATGGCGGGGTAGAAGCCATCATGGCTGGGGGGAGGAATGAGAGGGGGGACGAGAAAAGGGACGGGAAAAGAAAATGAGAGAAGGGGTTAGAGAGCTCCTTCAAAGAGGACGTCAGACAGAGTACCCGACAATAAGGAGCACCTCCTGTGTACCCACAGAAGCACACAGGGGGCAGCGTGTTCGCAGGGCGCAGGCTGCATACACACATCACAAAAACACATTGTTATCTCGCGCCACTATGAGCAGCACATCCACTCTGCTCAGAGGATTTGGAGGCTATGCTGGATCGCACTACCGATTCAGTATGTTCTTCCCAATCTGCCAAGCAGCAAGTAGGTTATCAACATAAAAACCACGTGGAATGAGTCTGCTTTTGAGTCGACTCAGAAGCAGTTCCATCCACTCTGCTCAGAGGATTTGGAATCTATGCTGGATCGCACTACCGACGCTCTCACCCCATATGTACTCTCAGCTTAGAGACCCATTGTCATCTCATCTCACAACAAGCAGCATCCCACAATGTCACTCTCACCTCACTATGAGCAGCACGTTCTGTATGCCATGCACTTTGCTTAGAGCATCCAGAGTGCGGCTGAGATACGCCGGCCGGTTGTGCACATACAACACGATGATGATGTCATCATCTCCCAATGCTGATGTGTCATCACGCCCCAAAGCTGCCACATCACCATTCCCAACTGCTGCCGCCACCACATCAGCACCCCCCATTGCTGACAGGCTTGCTTTGGTTTGCCTGTCTCGAGGAGAAGAACTCATCGACCCATGTGGTCGCATTATACTTGGCATTTTCCTTGGCATTCTATTCGCTGCTGCCAGCTCAGCGGTCCATTGATTGGCTGGAGGCCACGTGGCGTTGTTCAACCGCAGCTGCGACCTGCGCCAAGTCGAGACAAACCATGCCACCTCCCGCTGCTTGCGTGCCTGCATCAGCCGCCGCAGCCGTGCCTCCGTAGAGAACAGGGCGTTGCCTCTGATGGCGCCGGTCATTGCACGCACCTGGGGGAGAGTGTGGCAAAGGAATGGCACATGGGCAAAGAGCGGGAACAGAGGTGCTGTGGAGAGAGGCATTGCTTGCGTGGCGCATGGCATGATGACTACTGCAT